ATCTATTTGTTTAGGTTCTTGACTACCACCAAGATGGAACCTTGTCTAGGACACAAACCCAACCAGGAGCTCCTCTGTCTGCTCTTGGACAAGGAACAAAATGGCTACAAGATACCTTCCCTCTGCTTAGTGGGCAATGGGTAAAATGGAAACATGGCTATTCAGTTTAAAGGGAAAAAGCTTAACAACAGGGGAATCCAGTTTCAGAAAACCTCTCATCCCCTGTCTCCTGGCAGACCAGCCCTCTTGCTTTGTCACTCTTTCCGTCTGGGCTGGGTGGTGGTGGTGGTGGTGGTTATGTTTTTGGTTTCAATCTCTATCTCTTTGAGTTTGCATTTAAAACTCTTTAGAATCAAATAAACATTAATATGAAAGTGGGTCAAAACTGGCATAAATTACCACTTGATGATGAACTATTTTTTTAATGGTGCTGGAGATCAAACCTGGGGCCTTATGCATGCTAAACTCATGCTCTATCACTGAACTAAATTCCCCAGCCCTAAAATAATTATTGAAAAGTAATTAAACTCCTGCCTCTGGAATTATGGCAGATGTTTTTGTCCTCCATCACTCATTTCCATATTATTTGACTTTTTGCAATGAGCGTGGGTTGTTCTTGTGATCAAAAAATAGGTATGTGAAAATTAAGAACATATTGTTACATCAAAATAATCTCATGGGCTGTTTTTAATTTGTAACGATTTGGAAACTTTACAGAATCTCTTTAAATACATGTAGAACTAATATCTACTAGGCACTAAAACAAACTAAGAGTTGACTTTTAAATCCTATACTCTTGGAATACCATGGTATTTTATGTACTGATGCCAGAAATAAATATTCCAAACACAGATTGAACTTGTAAAGAAGCAAAGAGGAGGCTGCAAGTAGCCTTACAAAAACATTTTAAAGGGCTCTCGTGTAACCAAAATCCAGTTTTAAAAGGTATTTAGAAGTTTTAAGACAACCATTTAAGGAAAGGCTTAAAACGAACATTCTGCTTTATGGAGGGAAGGGAATGTTTTTGCAAACCTTTTTGTCTTTGTTTTTTGAGACAGGGTCTCATTATGTAGCCCAGGCTGACCTTAAACTCATGATCCTCCTGCTTCAGCCTCCCAAGTGCTAGGATTATAGCACCTGGCCCTTTGTTTTTAAAGTATAAAAGTAACTTGTGAATAAGAACTCATGGGCTTGGGGTACATAAGACCTTGAGTTTGATCTCTAGCACTGAAAATAAATTCATGTATGGCAGAAAGCAAAAATTAAAATCCTGTACCTATCCGACCCATTACTGGTTTCTTGTGGTTCCTACAAGAAAAACATTTTTCACTCAGGAGAGGGCTTGCCCAGTAGGCTGCACAGGTGCCTAGGTCATGGCAAGTTGTTAGGCCGTGCACTTTTTTGTGTGTACACTTCAATGAAAGATTAAAAAGGGGAGGCCAGAGGATAAGCAAAGTAACCTGAAACTCAGAGAAGAAGAGCTGTAAATGTCTGAGGTGCTGACTGCTACAAAGACCAAAGAGGTGAATCACCTACTAACAGGTTACAACTGCATCCTCCCAGCACGCACCTTTCAAAGAGAAACAAGTGTGGAGCAGTGTGCAGTGGCACATGAACACCAAGGAAGCAACAGAAGCATTGTCACATTGACATTTTCAAGAAAAGAATCCTTTTCAGCACCAAGGGAAAATTACCTATTATTTTATAGAATTTAATTTCTTCTAACAGTCATTTTCAACATAGGCTCACATTTTAATACTTTGCTGACCAAATCAATTTCAGAAACAGAGTAAACAAAAAGTACACCATTTGATTTTTAATAGCAATAACTATTCCATGAAAATAGAGCTGAAGGTTGTTAAAAAAATACTATCTGTTAAAGATTACAAAATGTCTTTGTCTTCCAGTGTAATCAAAGGCAGTAAGGACTTTCCCCAACATTTGTCCTGTGACTCTGTTCACAATCACCCCCTTTTCACTTCCCCTGAACTTTAAATCTGTGTTTAGCACATTTATTTCTGGCAGCAGTGCCCAAACTGCCATGCTGTTTCTAGGGTGCTGGGTTCAAGTTAGTGTTAAGAGCCAGGCGCTGGTAGCTCATGGCCATAATCCCAGCTACTCAGGAGTCAGAGATCAGAGGGTCATGGTTCACGGCCAGTCTAGGCAAAAAGTGAGACCCTGTCTCAGAAATTCTCAACACACACATACAAAAGGGCTGGCAGAGTGGCTTAAGTGGTAGAGAGCATGCCTAGTAAGCACGAGGCTCCTGAGTTCAAACCCATTTTAGGTAGTCATTTACCTATTATTTGAAGAGAAATTTGAAAATGTTTTCACACTCAGCTAGTTCTCACCATAATTTGGGGGGCAGGAGGGAGGGTGCTTGGCCCTTCCTAGCCATGTGGGTGCTATCTGAGGTAAAGAGATGAAAAGGGGTCTGAGTTGCTGAAGGATGGGATGAGGGGTTGACTCATTTCTATCTTTCTCTCACTATCTGACTATCTCAGCTTAGAGCTGTGGCCACCTTTGAAGTGACTGTCATGCTTCTGCCAGTCTCTGGCCTGGAGTACTCCAGCTGCATTAAGCACTGCTCAATGTTGACCTGGGCCCCAAACCACGTCAAGAAATCACTAGTTTCTGGCTCAGACTTCCTTCTTTAGCATTTAGCAGAAAATGAGCTACTTTCTACACATTTGGTGTCCAAACATACAGTTTATTCCTGAATCAGCAGTGTGACATCTGGGCTTCAGACAGACCCTGTACTGTCCTGTCAGCTAGCCTGTATCAGAGGCCATGCTAAAAAGAATGATATAAGGCAGGAGTTCTGACCCTAGAATTGCTAAAGGCACTTACAACTATTTGCTGAATCAAATTCAACATTTGAATGCAGCCTGAACAAGATCCAGCACTTCAGCATCATTTTGTAGACCAGCATTTTACTTGAAAGCACTTCCCATGGCATAAGCAGAACAAGCTTCAGGACAGTCATCACCCCAACCTTGCTTTCTACAAAACCATGAGGGCTTTGTGGTTCCTTTCAGGAGATGATAGAGGAAAGGTACAGATAAGGAGGAGCCATCATTTAAGAGAGACATGCCTGGTAGGACTACTGTCAACAAGCACATGAGACCTCTGGTCTATTTTCAGTAAAGACATGCATTACCTCAAACTGGGAGTTCCTCAGACTCTTGTCTCCCTATCTGTTCCCTATGACTTCAAAGAAAGGACTTTGTAACCACCTGAGCTGGCTGCCACTCAGGCAGTCAGGCACCACTCTACTGCTCAAGGATACACTGAGGCACAGTCAAGTCTCCAGTCATGAGCAGCCAGTCAATAATGATAGCACCACCCTTCCTGCTCTCATTTGAGGTGTATCATTTAGCCCTCAAATCTTCTGATATCCAGGAATTTTTTTTCCTCCATTCTAGTCAAAAGCATTGTTACTAAGCAACTTGGACAAGTCACATCTAAAGATACTCTCCATACTGTGCGTGGGTGTGGTTAAACAAAATCATTTTAAGTTACAACTGGGAGATGCTAAACATAGGACACGCATAGACTTTTTAAAAAAAAAATGTGTTTAATGCTGGCATGTTGACACCAGACCTCGCCTGACTTTGTGACAAGTTCTATCTTCACAGAAACCCAGCATGTCTGCTAGCTCTGTGAGATGAAACTTAGCAAACCGCAGCCCTGTAGAGTCCATGCACACCCTACTCTTAAAGGGCTGATGTGTACATTATTTCTGTTGAGTACAAAATCCTAGAAGGGAGGAGATGAAGACTCCCTTTAGTTTGAAAAGGTGGCCCTTTAAATTTCCCCTAGTGTTTAATCCTATCTGCTGTAGTGAGATTGAAGGAATTCATTGATATGTGTGTGCGTGCAGGTGTATATATTTATTTGTCTGGTTTTGGCTACACTCTTTAAAACTCAATGCTGTTCAAGATCCCCCTCTTCCTGCCCTGTCAGCCACAGGACCGCTAAAGCCTCCCTCCATACCACACTGCTACATGGACTCGGATTTTTGCACAGATGACTTCTGGAGTTCCCGAAACTTCTCTTAGTCAGATAAGCATCAACGAGAGCTTTTAGGTCTTCAATGCTTTGGTAAAAGAACAAACAACCTCTGCAAGTGGCAACCTTCTCTTCAGCGATTAAGTACCACTCCAGACACAAGGGTGAGTCACTCTGTTGCGCTGAGATCCTTTTCTTTCAGGACCAAACAGTGACAAGAATGGCACGTGGCTCAAGGACTTGGCAGACGGGAACGTGATCAACCAAGCAACCAAAGCTCACATTTCGCAGCACCTCCTTGCCTTTCTCCTGCCTTGGGTTTCGACGGCGCTGGGCACACAGGTTGCTTGCTGCAGGTCCGCAGATGACTCACAACCTCCCCGGCCCCACCTCTTTTTGTGGAAAGAAACCACCCGAGCCACAGATCCCCTCTGCTCCTTGGCAAGTGCCCAATTCGGAAGAGGAAGTGGGGTCGGTGGCGAAGGGTCAGCACGGCCAGTTAAAGTTGAAGGCTTACATTTGTCTAAGTACGAAAGCAAGGGTAAGAGGCAGAGGAGGACAAGACAGACCCCGGGCTTCCGGGAGCCCAAAGGAGGACAAGCAGGTCGGCATCACCACCGGCGCAACAAGTACCCAAACAGGCGGGGCTGAAGCGCGCAGGCCGGACCCCTCACCTCAGGCGACCCCCGCGGTGGCACGGCCGACCGCCCTTCAGTTTCCAATTTCCCCGACGTCTGGCCTCGGGGCCCCGGCGGAAAAGGCTCCAGACCAAGGGTCGACTTCACTCTAGCGTCCACAGCGACCCTCGCCCGCCTCCCGCCGGCGCAAACTCTCGCCGCTACCGAAACCGACTCTGGACTGCGGCCGACCCCCGGAGGGACGCGCTCGCCGGGGAGCCCGGCCTCCCGCCGTCCCAGCCCGGAGCCCCTCGGAGTCACCGCCGCGACCTCCCGGCCCGCCCCCACCGGGCCCCCAGCCCGCCCTCTCACCTCGGGCGGGAGCCGGGGCCAGATGAGGGCGTCGCGGGGCTCAACGCATCCTGGGACGCAGGGAGCCGGGACACGGGACCGCGCGGGTCCCGCAACGAGTTATGTAACCGGCGGGGGCCGCAGCCGGGACGGAGGCGGTGGCCCGCAGCACTTCCGCCTCCCGCGCCAGGCCGGCGGCACAGCCCGGAAGCCCATTGGCCGCCGCCTCGCGTAGCACCGCCCTCACTGACGCCGACGCCGCCATCTTGGGATCGGGGCGACCTCACGAAGCTGGAGCGGGGAGAGCGAGGCTGCGGGGCACCAGCGAGCGCGCAGGAGTGCGCTTGCCGGCTCCCTTTGGGGAAGGCGCAGGACCCAGCAGCCAGCCGCTGAGCGTGCCGCGGTGGCGTGGGGAGGAGGGGTTCTGGACTCCTGGCCGCACTAACGCTCGCGCGGTCGAGCAACGCTTCCCTTAGCTCTCACGTGGGGCTTGGACGTGGACGTCGCCGGCTCCCAGCGAACGTGATTGCAGGAAGCAGTGCCCAGCTGGCTCTGGCCCAACTGTCGCGGGCCGCCGTAGCGCCGCCCCATCACCACGCCAGTCGCGTGCTGACAGCGGGAGAAGTCTTTGCCTGCCTAGTTTCACCTTCTGTGCTGTGTTTTGAGATACTTCCTTCACTTAATCCAACAAACTTTCCTAACGGATGACATCCTCTTCTGCAGTTAACCTACTGAATTGAAAGTTTTTGGTATATCTGAGCCTCCTCCAGTTGTAAAACTTGGACAGAGCTGCCCTGTCTTTCAGAAATTGTTCCACCAGGAGTCCCTATTCTAAGACTTCTGGTTGCTTCTTCTCTCTCTGAATCCCAAGAATATTACTAGGAATATCACTGTTTTTCTTTTGCCTACTCAAGACCCCTTTCATCCTTTGTCCTTGGGTCAAGCAGATACCTAAAGACCCTACAGTGGTGGAAAGTCAGTTTCCTGCAGTCTGGCGACACCAAGCTGTCAGGCCGGGCCCTGACTTCAGCTGCACAGAACCTCAGCCTTGTTGATAGGGAAGTAAATCAGGTTCCTCTGGTTTACTTCCAGAGGAAGAGCTGTCCGGTACCATTTACCTAGACAAGCTCTGCTCTCCCTTTCTGAAGTCCCCAAAATCTCCAAGGCCAAGATATCTACAGAAATTGAGACATTTCATGTTTACCCCTGGGTTCTTCCTCATGGTCCCTAGGCTCTTATCTGGAGGAGCAAAGTCCAGTACTGCTCTCTTACTCCGACCCTGGGTGATCCCAAAGCCTCTCTTCTCTGGAATGTTCCTGTCTGTGGGCTGACCATTGATCTACTCAGGAAAGGTGATCAGTAGATGCACTGGGAGGGAGGACAGAAGGGACTGGTGACCAGGTTACCCTACCAATGTCCAGACATGCAGGCCATGAGCAATACTGCAGCTCACAATCTTCTACACACACCTGCACTGGCCAGTGGCTGACGCCTACAATCCTAGCTACTTGGGAGTCTGAGAGCAGAAGGATTGATGTTCAAAGCCAGACCCCATCTCCAAAAAAACCAGAGAAAAATGAACTGGACTTGTGGCTCAAGAGGTAGAGGGCCTGTTTTGCAAATGCAAAGTCCTGTTCAAACCCTCAAAAAAAAAAAAAAAAAAAAAAAAAAACCCTCTCCCCACAAAAGCATTTAATACATCTAACCTATGGAGCCTCATAGCCAGCCTATCTTAAATACGTTCAGAGCACTTACACTAGCCTACAGTTGGCAAATCATCTAACAAAGCCTGTGCTATAATACAGCATTGACTACCTCATGGAATTTATTGAATACCTGTATCCAAAAAAAAACAAAAATGCTGGCAACATAATGCAGTGTAGAGTACTGGTTGTTTATCCTCCTGATCACATGGCTGACTGGGAGCTGCAGCCTGCCCACCATCTTCAGAGTATTGTACAACATATTGCTAGCCTGAGTAAAGATTTGAAGCATGGTTTCCACAGAATGTGTCTTGCTTTTGCGTCATTGTAAAGTTGAAAAATCGTTAAATAGGACCATAATAAATTGGGTACCATCTGTATTTCCTTAGGAAAAATTCTTAGAATGTTGGCTAAAAATATTTTTAATTAAGCACACTTAACTTTGGAAATAAACCGCTGATTGCCTGCCAGAAAGGTTTTACCAATGTGCTCTCATACCAAGAGCAATGAATCTGCACCTGTGATAGCAGGTTCCTGGTGATATCAGGGAAAATGGCCACAGCCTCACCAACATGGGTATTGCTTTTACCTCTCTGCAACTGAAGTAAAAAAGATCTTACTGTTTTCATGTGCATTGCTTAGTATGCTTATTTTTTCAATTTTTATGAACTATATTTCATCTTTATATGATTTTTATGTGTTCAACAAGATGTTTTGGTTTTGGTTTAATTTGAGGGGACTTTCTGACATTAAACATTTCTTTTAGAAGTAATGCATGCCTGTGGTGTATTTTTAAAAAGAAGAACAAAAGGATAAGTGGTGAGAAACAAGTTCCCTTCCCTCTGACTCTGAGTACCAGAGTTTTCTGGGTAAACTTGGTTACCAGTTTCCTGGAATCCTTCCAAAGACCTTATTTACATGGACAAGCACGGTGTTTTCATAAATAAAAAGCAAATGTGAGTGACGTAGGTCCAAATAGTGACCTGGACACTCTGCTTGGGGAAGTGTGATTTCAAGATGGTTTAATAAGGATTTCAGCAGAGCATTTGTTGCACAAACAGCAGTGGAACGTGTAGAATGGAATATAAACGAATGTGTATCTGCTAAAAGTCTGCTATGTGCTAAACTATGCTATAGTCCTCCCATTATGTTCTCTTACTTCATCAACCTAGAAAGATAGGTATTGTTCCCATTTTACAATGAAACACCCACCCAAGGCCCTTATTGAATGCAGAATGAAGATGCTCTCCCCAGTGGCAGCCTGAGTGTCCACCATAAAGGATGAAAGCCAAGAAACAAACACACTAATTTTTCATTCCCATGGATCACAAGTGTCCTAACTTACTAGGAGGGAAGTCATGAGTTTTCTCTCTCTTTTTTTTTTTTTTTTTTTGCAGTACTGGGGTTTGAACTCAGGGCCTCACATTTGCTAGGCAGGCGCTCTACCACTTGAGTCACTCCGCCAGTCCAGTCTTGAGTTTTCAAAAACATCCTTTTTTTTTTTTTTTGGTGGTACTAGGGCCTTACACTCTGCCGGCCCTGTTCTGTGTTGGGTTTTTTTGAGATAGGGTCTCACAAACTATTTGCTCAGGCTGGCTTTGAACTGTGATCCTCCTGATCATTGTCTCCTGAGTAGCTAGGATTACAAACATGAGCTGCCAGCATCTGGCTTCAAAAACATCTTTCCCAGGTTGCTGAAAAACACTTCATGGCCATCCTGGAAGACAGTAAGCTTGTTGATCAGCATGCCTGAGAGAACCTTGGCCCACTCTGGGAGCACTCTCCAGAGAGCAGACAGTGTCCTTGTGACTAGCATGAGATAGAGTGGGTTATCCTGATATTTGTGGTTCTAAACGGTTTAATATCTGCCCATATCAAAACCAGGACTATCGGGAACCAAATATTTTGCTTTGCTGTGAAATGATGTAAATGTGTAAGATGGATGACCAAGGATTCTACAATTCCTGCAATTAGAACCAGGCAGAAGAGATGACCATGTGGCCACATAGCCCCCACCTGAGAGTTAGGATAGTAGGCTTAATGGTCTGTTTCCCCATGACTTGTTAGTATATCCTAAAACTGGGCTTACCAATCAAGACTCACAAGGACTGATGCTTAAACAAACACTTGTTTATTTGCCTCCAGTCAGAGTGACTGGAGCAGTCACACTCCTGTTTTACTTAACAAAAGAATATACTCATTTACCCTTCTGTCAAGTGAAAGCTTTTGTTTTACTAAACCTCCTCTACTAGTCAGTACTAATCATTTAAAAAATATTTAATAACTGACAGGTCAATAGTTGATTTCACTTAAGTAGGTTTCTTCTGACTCTGAGAGGCATCATTCCCAGCAGGACCACAGAAGCTTTTGACTCACTCCCTGGAACTCTTCTCCCTGGTTCGTCTGTGCTTATCTTTCCTGATATGGTAAACCCACCTTATCCTGTACTTATCACACACAGTTCTGACCAAGTGTGGTCAACAAATAATTCAAAAAACAAATTTTAAAAATAAAAAATTTCAAAATAAAATTCTCATGCATTCATTACACATTTCAGTTGATGCAGAGAAACTCTGTCAGTCCCATTAGCATCTGTGTTTAAATTGTTGTGTAATTTGCTAAGTGTTTCCCTGATCTTAGGGTTTTTTTTTTTTTTTTTTTGGTAGCACTTATGTTTGAACTCAGGGTCTCATGCAAGCATCCACAGTACAGTACTGAACTGTATGCATCGGTTTTTCAAACAGCAGTCTCCTTGGAACCACATATGTGCAGAAACCACGAGTTCACTGTATAGTCTTTCTATAAACTGCAGCCGAGAGAAACAAGGCTATTGCTTTACTCCTGGCATCCTGTCTCTGTAGCCTCTAGGCAGATAAATCTCAGACAAACCTCTGATCTCAAAAGTCTCAATCTGATGGACCCTTTGGGGATAAAATTATCTAAGCATGTAGTTCTCTAACCTACTATCCAACCCACCATTTCTTTTCTGTCCTCATTATGTATAACCTGAATTTGCTGAAGATCTTGTTACTCTCCAGAAGTCTCTGGTTGAAGCTTTTATTTTACAAAACTTCATCTGTACCAGTGGGTCCAGAATCCTTCACTGGAAATATCTTTGGCTTCGCTGGCTGAAAAACAATTCAGCTGGGGTTGGCACAGAGCAAAGCCATGAGGAAATAACATGTTAGAGCACCACGGGCCTATTTCTGATGAAGAGACTCTTCTCCAGATACAGCTGATCCTAGCTTTGAAATCACGACATCTCTTGTTTCAGGGGAAAGTAACATTTGCAGGAATTCACTCATATTCACTCAATAAGAGAATGGAGGCCAGTGAATAACAGCTTTCTAGCTGCTGAGCTGGGTATTCTGGATGCCTGTGAGAGGAGCCTCTCATTGAAGTTTGGGAGAAAGATAATCCTGCTTGGTCCTGTGCCTTCTTATTGTGTCAGCAATAACATCTCAAGAAGGGCCAGAGACATACTGATTTTTAAGTAATAGACCATAAAAAAACAGTACACTCCGGGAATGGAAAACACACCAAACCTAGTAAATAATTCATTCTGGAGCTCTTACTAGAATTTACCAAGGGGGGGGGAATTATATATATATATATATATATATATATATATATATATATATATATATATATATATATGACTAACTAGTGATAGTGATAGGGCTGGAGGCATGGCTCAAGTGGTAGAGTGCATGTCTAAAGTGGGAAGCTCTGAGTTCAAACTCCAGTACTAGCAAAAAAAAAGAAAAAGAAAAAAGAGTAAACAGTGATAATTTCTGTATCTCTGCAAGATAGGGATGTAGTGCTTTTAACATATGTGTGTGTATATTTACATATATATGTATGTATACACACAACACATATATTTGCTTATCTGTATTTTCTATTTTTCTAAAGTACACATATACTGCTTTTTAATAATGTCTTTTCTTGAAACAGGATCTCACTATGTGGCCCAGAATGGCCTTGAACTCACAATCTTCCTGTTTCAACCTCCCAAGTGCTGGGAATATAGGTGTGTGTGACCACACCTGGCCTTAAAAGGTTATTTTTAATTTAAAAAGAGATGATGAAATCTTTATAGACAAAGAAGATGCTTGGCTATAGAAAGAATCTCAATAAACACAGATTGCTGTTATTATCACTACTAGTATGTAAATAAATGGAGAATCTTACAAAACAAGGTACTGGAAGGAGAATGTTTGGATGATTATGTAACTTGTACATACAGTGGACATACAGGCAAGCAGCTCTGACTTCTTAAAAAAATGAATTAGGCATACAATTCAATTTTATTTTTTCAATCTTTGTGTATCTTAGACTTTTAACTTCCTCTTTCTCTGCCCACTTGTTTAGTTTTGATAGTTGGCTCCTAAAAGGGTAAGAGAAGATTGTTCTTCCTCTCTGACTTCAGAGATAACCCTCTCTCTGGTTATATACTAAGTTATACTATAAACTTCATTTCTTGTCATTGGAAACTGCTATCCTCTTTAAAATAATGAGAACAGGGTCCAAAGTAAAGAGCTCTGAGAGCCTCTTGTTGGTTAAAGAACCATAAATCCAGATTAGGAGATTCTGAGTCCCAGATGAGACATCCCTGAAAAAAGAATGGCAACAAGCACAAAGCAAAAGGGGAAAGATGACTACGTGAGCTACACCATCATGTGTGACGAGCATGCCTTTGGTTTAGGCTGTAAGCTTTTCTTTGACGTATAAGCTTTAGATGTGTCTAGCCTATGTGGAAGTTTGTTCTTACCACTCTTCTATCTGAAGCGCCTTTCTCCTTCATCTGGATATCCTCAGCCACCCATTTCCACAAAGACTCCTTTGTAGTGGACAACAGATGTCCCTTGTAATAACATCAGTTAACTAACTATCTGACACCTTTTCTACTTCCTCTTTGTTTTCTTTTTTCCAATAGATCCCTGATTTTGTGCAGGTAGGTGGTCAGGGAAGGCTAGGTCCTTCTCCCAGATCCAGGGAGTGAGGCGTGATGGCCCAAACTTTAGTGTACAGAATTTATTTTTGGTGATGCTGGGGCTGGAACCCAGGGCCTCACCTGTGCTAGGCACACGTCTACCAGACCAGTATGGTAGTTTTTTGTTTGTGGTAATGACTGGTTTAGGATGGGTACATGACAAAATATGTCTGCATGCATTATCTAGGTTTCACCAAGCATGCTAAGGATGCAGAAGAGATATGGAAACACTAGAAACTTGATGGTGTCACTGAATTCAACTGTTCCAGCTTTGAGCATTGTGTTATTGGGTTTTCTGTTACTTGCAGCTGAGCCTCTCCTATTTGATGTTCCACCAAATCAACTTACTACTCAACTTTATTTTTTTTTCTGGTGGTACTGGGCCTTGCACTTGCGAGTCAAGTATTCTACCACGTAGGTCATGCCCCAGTCCTTTGCCTTTTACTTTGTTTCCCAGATAGGCTCTCACAGTTTCGCTTAGCCTGATTCGGGTCCTCCTTCTTGACCTCCTGAGCGGCTGCGAATACAGGCGTGCGCCACCACGCCCCACCCACAGTGCTGAGTTAATAACCATGGCAACAGTCACCGAGCAGCCGGCACTAGGGTGAGAAAACATGTTATTTACCAGAATTCTCAACGTGCCTATTTTAGGCTTTTTCTCCCCGGCCAAACCCCTTCATGAACGAACAACTCCGTTCACGTACATCGTCGTGCGCCCTCTGAATGATCAAGCCGCACTCTGCGCTCCTCGCAACTGAAAAGCAGGTTCGAGCCCGGCCCACGTCGCCAAGCTGTCAGGGGTGGGCTCGGGAGCGCGCACCGCGGCAGTCAGGCGGCGCCCGGGCGCGACCTCACGTGCGGCCCGCGACCCGCGACCCGGCCCGCGACTCGTGGGGCTCGGCCCGAATGTGCCGGCCGGCCGGCCGCGGTACAATGCGCTTAGAATACTTCGGGCCGGTCGCTAGCAACCAGGGCGCCTGATCGGAGCCGTGCGATCGCAGACGGCAGCCCGCTACGTTCCAGGGCCCCGCAGGCCGCCCACGAGCCAGAGGCCCGCTCGGCAGCGGCCAGGCCCGGGCCGACCGCGGCCCCTCGTTCGCCTCACCCTGCGGACCCAAATTTCAGGTCCTCGGGGGCCGCTGTTCCCACGTATCGTTACCGACTTTCTTTCGAGCTCTGGAGTCTGGCTTCTTGTTTTCCTTCCCGGGATCATTACGCCTCTCGGGTCGCCTTCTCGCCCCAGCTGAAAGGGCCAAGGGGCCGCGGACTCACCGGGGAGACCTAGCCGGCGGAACCGGAAGCGCCTGCTAGCAGCCGCGCCGGAGAAACTACGCCTCGCCGCGGCCGGGGGCGCCACCGTCCTCGGTGAGCGGCTCAATTGGTCCTCCCCGCAGAGTGACCGCCCCCCGGGAGCACGGGGACCAATCGGGACGGAGGATGGAGACGAAGGCTGGGGTCGCGTCGCTTCCGGCGGTTTCCTCGCGGCTACTGCGTGAGGAGAGCGTGGGAGTTTCTCGGCGGCCTCCGCCTTCGTCGTCGCGTCTCGCTTGGGCGTCGCTTCCTGCGGCTTGTGCCGCGGCAGAGCGAGGCCCTCATTCCTGCTGGAGGGGTCAGGGGACCCCTGCCGAGGCGGGGCCGGGGAGAAGAGCAGTCGGTGGAGGTTTCCAGAGGGGCTTGAGGGATCGAGGGAGGCGGGGGTGCAGGAAGGGCTTGGCAACCGATTTGGTCCCGCCAAAGGCCGCTCTCTCCCCTCGAAGCTTTGTCCCCGCGGCCCTGTGGCGACTTGAAGACGCCGCCCTGCAGACCCCCAGATGGCGTCGACGCGCCCGACGCCCGACGCCCAGGTGAGACGAGACCCGGGCGCTGGCCTCCCTCCCCGGGCGGTCCCCGGGCGCTTGCGCCGCGTCTCCGTTCGCAGCTGAGCGCGCAGGAGGCGGCCTGCGCCGGGGCCCGGCTCTCGGCGGGGCTGCGAGGCCGTCGTCCTCCGCACTTCACACCTGCGGGTGCGGAGGGCGGTGCCGCCGCGCCGGCTCCGTGCGCCGGGGCGGGGGCGGGGAGGAACCCGGGGCCTCTGGTCCTTCCCCGGGAGTCCCCCCTCGCTCTCCTGGAGAGGCCGCCTGTCCAGCGGGTCTCACAATGGCGTGCGGTCAGCCCCCTCAGCCGCGCCCGCCCCGCACGGGACTGTCACACCGAGCCCTCTCCGGCCTGGGGACGGTGGCCCGCTGACCCTAAGGCCAGTCTCCCGTTCCAGGGACCGACGCTGTTTGAAGACCTGGCTGTGTACTTTTCCCAGGAGGAATGTGTGAGTCTGCAACCTGACCCACAAGAGCGCTCTGAGGACGGGGCCCTAATAGGTAAGGCAGCGTTTTTTGGTGGTTTTTGTCTTCGTTTCGTTGCTTTTGGACCTTTTGTGTGTTCTAGGATAAGGATTTTATGCCCTGTCCACGTTAGTGCGGTGGAGCAGGACCTCTCCTTGGATAATTTATGTGGATGTGACAAGAGCCGACTATGAGAAGAATTTCAAAGTCTGAGATGATTTCTCAAGTCTAGTACCCTGACTGTGCTTTCACATAATATGGGGCACTACTGGTAATCCTCCCAGACATTTTCTTTAATTTAAAACTTTACTTGGGAAACCCCATGAGTATAGATTACTATCATTTGCTGAAGATTAGAAGTTGATTAGCTCTTAAGAGGGTGTTATGCCTTTCTCTCCTTAGGGGAACTATATGCCTGAATAGATTTATCTGACTGGGGCTGCACATCTAAACTATTTTTCATAATTCATGTTGTGTATCTCCCACTTTCTTTGTCATATGAAGTATATTTATAATAGCTTTTTAATGTTTGTTCCGCTAGTTTTATCATCTGTGTCATTTCTGGGTCTGTTTCTATAGATTGATTGTTCTCCTTGTTATGAGTCATATTTTCCTGCTTCTTTACAAGCCTGGTAAATTTTGATAGGATTTTGGATATTGGGGATTTTATTTTAGGTTGGTTGTTGGATTTTGTCAAATTTTTAAAAATATGTTTGGACTTTGTGGTGGGATGCAATTGAGTTATTTGGATTTAGTTTGATATTTTCAGTTTTTTTTTTTTCTTTGTTAGCATGGGTTCAGATGGGCCTTTAGTCTAGCACTGATTCAGCCTGTTACTAAGGCAGAATTTTTCTGAGGAGACTGTTTGATGTCCTGTGTTTAGAAGGTCTTTCCACTTCGGCTGGTAGGATCTCTGGATCTTGTTCTGTAAACTCCTTTCTGATAGTTCCTTCCATGACCTTGGGCAGTCTCAGCATGTGCATGCAGATTAGTACTTAGCAAGGTGTTTTTTGTTACTATTATTATTACTTTTTACGATACTAGGGTTTTACCTCAGGATCTTGTGCTTGCTAGGCAGGAACTCCATACCACTCGAGCCATGCCCCCAGTCCTTTTTTGCTTTCTTTTTCTGATATGGCCTTTCATTTTGCCCAGGATGGCCTGAGACAGAGATCCTTCTACCTAGGACCTCTCACATAGTTTGGCTTATTTGTTGAGATGGAGCTGGCTTTGATCCTTTATCCTTCCAATCTCCACCTCCCAAGTAGCTGGGATTACTGATAGGAGCCACTGCAACTGCAATCCAGCTCAGCAGAAGTCTTAGGAGATGCCCTAAGTCTCTTTCTGTAGTACTGCTTTTCTATTACTTTGCTCTCAAATCCTAGCAGCCTTGGCATCCCTGATCTCTGAACTCAGATCTCCTCAAATCAACAAAGTTACTGGATACTGTTTGGATTCCCATGCATTGTACTGCAGTCCTGAAACACTTTCCAGTCAGCAAGTTGGGACTGCTTTCAGTCTTCGTTTCTTTGGAAAGAAGGATCCCTTTTGTATTAATATACTGGATTTATAAATGAGAAAACAGTTGGCCTTAATATCCATAGGAGATTGGTTTTGGACACCACCGTACCCCACCAAGGACACCAAAATATGAAGGTGCTTAAGTTTCTTAAAGCACTAAAGTGGTATAGTAGTTGTGTATGATTCTCCCGTACACTTTAAATCACATGTACATTACTTATAATAACTAATACAAGGTAAGTGCAGTGTAAATAATTGTTACACTGTATTATTTAGAGAATAATGACAAGAAAAAGTACACTGGTCAGTACAGATGCAATTTTTGTTTTGAATATTTTCAATCTGTGATTGGTTGAGTCTGCGATGCAGAACCCATGGATATAGGGCTGGCTGTATGGAGAAAAATATTAAAGAATTATTTTTTGCCAGATCCAAGTTTTGTCAGCCACTCCTTTTATTTGGCAGTATTGGGGTTGGAACTCAGGGCTTTGTGCTTGCTAGGCAGGCAGGTGCTCTGTCACTTGAACCACACTTTCAGCCCTTTTTGCTCTGGTTACTTTGGAGATAGGGTCTTGCTTTTTTGCCTGGGCTGGCCTGGACTGTAATACTCTTATTTTATACTTCCTGTTGTCACTAGGATGATTGGTGCACACCACCCATAACCAGCTTTTTTCCAGTGACATGGGGTCTGGCAAATTGTTTTGCCCTGGCTGGCCCGGAACCTCAATCCTCTTGATCTAAGCCTCCCAAGTAGCTGGGATTATAGATATGAACCACCAGCACCTGACTTGTCAGCTGTTCTTGAGATAAGACTGATCATTATTTGCTCACAATACACATAGCTCTACTTTGATTATTGCTCAGTGAAGGGTAAGGAAATTCAGAGACTTCTCCTAGTGATGTGTAAAATTATCTGTGTGTTTCTCTGTTATGGTAGAAAACACACTATGCTCTTTTTTTTTTTTTGACAAATATGTATCCCAATATCCATTCTGATTTTGATTGCTCAACTGTCACTATGTAGCTCAAATAATGAAAAGCTCTTGAGACCTAATAGCCTAACTAGAAAACTACACTTCTAGTCAATATCTACCAAGATTTATCTGTTCCTAATCTCATTGGACGCTGACTTAGTTATAGGCATTCTCTGCTCCTTCTCTTAGTAGGTTCACCTGGAACTGGATCTTTTGGGAAGTCAGTAGCACATGCTGGCTCCTGATTTTGTGTATTTGCCAGTGTCTGGATTTATGAATAACCCATGTGCAGATTCCTGGTCTTCTGTATAACTTCCTTAGCTTGTTCTTTCTTTAGTATTCCTAAGTGTTGTCTATGTTTTGCTTTATTTGTTTTTATCAACAGGAGGGGAAGGCAAGACTGAGATTAATCAGCAGTTAAGCCTAGAATCTATGGAACTTGAAGAGAATTCCCTGGAGAAGTACTCCATTTCTCCGCCCTTTGTCGGTTATCCAGAAAAATCTTCTGAGGATGAAGTTGAAATCCCTGAAAGGAAAATATCAGGTGGAACTTCCACTTGCAAGAAAAGGTTCATAAGCCTTTTAGTTACCATTGAAAACCATACCCCATTAGTAGAACTATCTCAGTATTTAGGAACCACAGCACTTTCTGAAATTCTTGAATGTCCCTGGGAAGAACCCAAAAATGTATACAAGTGTCCTGATTGTGACCAAACTTTCAGCGATAATTCATACCTTGTTTTGCATCAGACAATTCATTCAGGAGAGAAAAAGTACAAATGTGATGAATGTGGGAAGATCTTCAATCATAGAGCCAATTTGAGGACACACAAGAGAATACACACTGGCGAGAAGCCTTATAAGTGTACCAAGTGTGATGCCAGCTTCCGCCAGCAGTCACATCTGTCCCGGCACATGAACAGCCACGTAAAGGAGAAACCCTATACGTGTGGCATATGTGGGAGAGGTTTTATGTGGCTCCCAGGATTGGTACAGCATCAGAAAAGCCACACTGCTGAAAAACCATATGAACGTGCTAACCATGGTAAAAATCCTGGTGAGAAAACTAATCTAGCTTTGCATGAAAACACACACACATCAGCCACCCCTTGCCAGTATACTGAGTACAAGAACAGCTTCGAGCCACCTTCATACCCTTCCCTCCCTGAGAAGGGCCACAAGGAGGACTCTGAACACTGCAGTATTGATGATGAAAACTTTTTTTTATTTTCCAAATTCAAACCCTTACAGTGTCCTGAGTGTGACATGACCTTCCCTTGTTTCTCTAAACTTGTTTCTCACCAAAACATTCATATTGTGGAAAATCCCCATAAATGCAAAGTATGTGCAAAAAGTTTTGCTTTGGAGTCAGAACTTGCATACCACCAGAAGAGCCATACAAGAGAGGAACCATTTAAATGTACGGTGTGTGGGAAGAGTTTTAGAGTGAATATGCATCTCATTACTCATAAGCGAACCCACAGGAAAAACCCCATATAAATACAACAAGTTTAAATAGTTGGGCTTTTCATTGTCTGGTGGGAGGTGTGCTAAAGCTACACACATTCCGTTCTATACTTAATTCTCACCACAGCCTTGGTTTACGCAGTGCTATTTCTCATTCCTAGTTTAGGACAGGAAGCAATACTATCACAAAACTAGTGAATGAAGCCAGGATTGGGACTCACTGATGAAATTCCACTTAGGAGAACTTGAAAACCTCAGTTGTCATTAAAATGAAGGTTTTTCACTAGACTTTTCTAATGTGATTTCTAAGAATGTTCTAGGAGGAGAATTTATTTTCCCCAGTTCTGCATATCTGGTGTGTAGAAAATTGAATGTTTTTATATCTGTTTTATACATTTATTGTTACAACTATTTCAGTGTAATATTTGTATGAAACCATTGTTTTACATGAGCATTTCTAGAGTTTAGGATCCACTCCATATAAAGTTTCCACATGGGTGGATTACTTGGTATATTCTTTTTCTTTTCCTTTTTTTCCTTCTTTCTCTCTCTTTCTTTTTTTAAGGCAGGTCTGTGTAGCCCATGCTGGTCTGGAACAGCTGGCATTGAAACTGATACCCTCCTGCTTCTACCTCCTAAGAGCTGGGATTACAGGTGTTCACTACTATGCCCAGCTAGGTACCTGATATCTTGACTGCCATTGGTATCTTGGAGTTCTTGTTCTCAGATCCGATGGCAGGGACACATCTGCCATTTGTGACTCATGTTTTCCAGGAGTTTCAGTAGTCTAATTGAAGCCCTCTTCTACAGATTAGAATTGATTTATTTGTGTGTGTGGGGGGTGTGTGTGTGCGTGCGCACGCTTTGGGGAGGATACTTGATCCTAAAGGGATTTGCCTCCAGATTTCTAATGAAGCACATTGCCTGACTCGTTATAAATAATCAGAGCTAGTTTCTAGTGGGCATGACAGACTCCTTTGGTATATTATCTAATTTAATTTCAGAGTAAATCTGAGATGGATAAAGGACTGTCCTTGTTTAAAAAATGTGGAAACTGAAGCCCTCGAGGGTAAAGATGGCACTTTGCTAAGCACAAAAAAACATCACATTGTGATGAAGTTGGCATTTACATTTGGGCATCCTGGGAGTAGGGGTGTGGCTTAAGTGGTAGAGTGATTGCCTAGCAAGTGTGTGGTACCAAGCTTAGCCCCGGTACTGCCATAAATAAATAAATTTAGGTGTCTTCAAAGGCCACGCATTTTTTCAACCCTGCATTATCTACTGGCATTTGTGCCACATGTTAGTATTGCTAGGAGACAGGGAGGCTGAGATAGGAAGGGAAGGAATTGTCATTTTGGAGGGTTCCCAATGTACATGTATGCTGGAATCCCTTCACTCCCTTTGCATTTTATCCAAGGCCTGACTTTCATGTACACTTACTTATAAAGCAGTAGAAGACTCCAGAACTTCAAGTTTGAACTCACATTCCTATAATCAAATCTGAGGTTTCTAGCTCTACAGAGCAAATCCAGAAGGTTTTGTTAAAAAATTGTAACATTTCTTTCTCCATCTCCAAAGAAAAATACATAGGGAAAATTGTTGGATTGGATTTTTTAACCAAAATTCTTGATAATATATATATGATCTTTAGATAATATTACAGATAAATATTAGAACAAACTATTAAAATAGTATGGTTATTAATGTTAAAGAACCAGAGAATGTTGTAAATATACATTCATATAGAATTACTCTTTACAGCACGATTGTATACCTATTGGCAAAACAATATTTATATGGTCTTTTGATTGGTTTGTAAGTGGTCTCATTCTACTTGAATAGACTGGGCTGATGGAATGGCTCAAGTAGTAGAATGCCTGCCTAGCGTGAGACCCTGAGTTCAACCCACTGGTACCACCAGAAAAAAATACTATTTGAATAAACTATAAAAGTATAGTATTTACTAAAATGGAATTGCTGGGAAATCTTAGCAAAAATAAACACCTCTTGAGGACCAAATGGATGGAAGGTGGTTCTACAGAACAGCAGATTAAAAACATGTACAAAAAGATGGCACGGCAGCTAAGCTCTTAACACTTAGAGGCAGGAAAATAACTATTGCTAGTGAAAAAATAAACCCCCCAAAAACCTGAAACCAACAGAATACCCTAGTGTGCCCATTCTTTTTTCCCTTTCGTTACTCTTGTTTCTTATTGTAGATCCACAATTGAGAGAGACCATGTGTCCTGTATGTCAGGGTCAGACTTGGCTCTGTTTTTTTCTCCACTCTTAAGATAGAAGACACTGTTCTACCAGTGATTCAGGGTCTTAAATTTAACAATGAGGCCTCTGAGATGCTTTAAATTACATAGATGATCTCCGGTTTCTCTGTAGCTGACTCTGGGATATAGTGATCTTTGTTTAATAACAACAAGATACCACCTTTGTGCTCTCCTAGTTCTGTGGGAGAAACTAGTATGGTACCTTATGGGCACTAATACTTCAGTTGAAGACTGAATGAAGAGTTGCAGGATAGGGAATGAAATTTGAAAAGAGGCCCCCCCAATAGAAGATTTGCTGCAGAGAGAAGTAGAGAGGAATATCTTAGAAAGCACTTAGACAGGATGTGACTGATAGAAAAGATGGAAGCTGTCATCCTTTCCTTTGTATGTCACGAATCCTATTGTGCACCTTAATACAGAAATTCACATTTACAGGTGAGGCTTCCTTCACAGTTTACCTCTCTGTTTTGTGTATTCTCCAGATTTTGAAAACTTATGCCAAACATTTATAAAAGATTAGAAAAATAGCACTTTTACAGAAACATTAACATGCACACGGGAGTTTAAAAGTGGCTTTTGGTATAATATTGTTTGGTATGCAGAAAAAAATGAAAAAAATCCTCTGAATGTCAGTTATTGTGAAATAGGCTTATTTTCAGTTGTCTTGTGCACTTGTCCCTAAAATCTTAGTTGGATGTTATTCAAGCTGCTCTGCCCACAGGGAGCTGAAGGAATAGGTGTGTCTGCCAGTAGTGTTCAGGCTTCCTTTTACGTAATGGCCTTTTTACCCTTCTATCTACCATGTCAACTGGTAGAAGTGGACTCCATAAGATTGTAATTAAATCAGAGATGTTTTTAGCCTATCATGTTGTTAACAATTGGGAAAATGCAATATAGGCGTGAAAAACTAAATGCAAGAATTTATTGCTTTGAGTCGTTTAACTCCAATTTTGCAGGATGGATGTTAATGACAGTGGAAACTGTGCTGAGGAAATGTGCTGAAACGAATTTGGCTTTTGTTGTTGCAGTGATGAAAATGTGTGTCACACAGTTTCTTAACATGATTGTTGGAATATCAAGTTACGTATGTTAAAGTGTCACAGCATTTTCCTAAATGGAATTTCAATGCCAAGAGTTTGCATTTTTAAGAAATCATTTGCATTTTGTTGTTGAAGGAGTTGGACTCAAAATCGTTTTGTATAGAGTTGTGTTACTACAAACAATAGTATTTTCACATCTCCCCATGTAATGCTGAAAATGACTAACCCAATATTTGAGGGAGCTAAAAGTAAATCAAATGACATCTCCCAGTAAGTGCCATTTTTGAGGCTTTGACTGCTGAGATTCCATATAATTAAGTAGCAATCTTCTTGTGACTGCAGCTTAAAAGACGTCATACAATCTGGATCTGCAGATTTCACTAAATAATCTGCACTTTACTGCATATGTGTTTAAGGCAGACAGCAGGTTAAAGTTTATCTGGATGAAGTATCTATTTTCAGTGTTTATTAAACTTGTTATCCCTGTGGATCTCAGTAGGAAAGTGTTTTCACTCTGACCATTTGTTTAACAAGTAGCTAAATGATCTTTATTAGAAGTGTGCGTAGTCATCTGTTTGATTCATGTGGGTTAGGAGAGCTACTGGTCAGACATAAAGATGATCATTACCCATCTTGCCAAGGCCCACCGACTGTAGGTGTTTTGTCTTTTTAAATTGAGATCCTGACCACATGGACAGTCTAGGGAGAAGGAGAATAAACCTAAGAACATGCTATAACCTCTAGCTACTTTGGTCACCTAAGAAGGATATTTGTTGTATGCAATTCTACGGTTTGTCTGTTTAATGTTTCATCTTTACTGTTTTTGGTGCATTCTTATTGTTCTTAGCTCTAGTTGCAGTCTCTCAACAGGCAGTGATTGTGTCTATCTGATGTGCAATTTAACATCTTAATAAATGTTATTTTATGATGATAGCAAGAAGTGAACTTTTTGAATACACAGCAGTGGTTTTTTGGATGGCAGTTACATGAATTTTGAACACTGGTTGGATTATGGTTTGGAGAGGGTGAGTAATTTCGTGTCTTTTGATAAAGGAAGGAAAGTCTCGCTCCCTGGAATTCGGTACAAAGTTCCAGCGTTATTCTGGGAAAGCAGCAATAGACGTCCACCTACCTCGCAGTCTTGGCTGCATAGCAGCAGTCCACGGCCAGGTACCTCCGGCTGCACGGGCAGCGACTGTCCAGCATGGTGTGGCTCCCGACGCCCGGAGCCGGGGCAGGAGCGGTGAGTCGTTTCACAAAGGTTCTGTGGCCCCGGACAGATCCCGGGTCTTAGCTGTGCCCACCGGCCGCGCAGGCTGGGGAGATGCCAGCCAGGTGGGATGTGCCAGCGGGGCAGCGGGCAGGAAGCCGGAAGCTGTGGTCACTTCCGGTGGCGCGTGCGCACTCCAGGCCAGAGGGGGCAGCGAGCGGTGGTATCCAGCCGCGGAGTTCGCTTAGGCTGCTGTCCCTCTCCCACCATCTGGGTGATCTCCGCAGAAACTGGGCAGGGGGACGGCAGCGTTTGCGACAGGCACTCCAGGAATGGCCTTCCGCATCCTCGAGCAGAGGGTAACGGGGTGATGCGTCCGAATCTCCTTCCGCTGACTGCAGGACTGGGCGAGAGGAGGAGCCTGGGCCACTTCTGGCACTGACCCCTCCCTGACGGCGTGAAGCTACGAGACTGCCCTGCGTGTTTCTAGCCTGTTCAAAGGGATGCTTTTTTCTTCTCACTCGCCCTGGGTAGAGTATCTCTGCAGAGCCGATGCCGGCCTCAGGCTTTAGGTGCGCCTGTATATTATACTCAAGTTAGAAATGCGCCCTGTAACTTAGTTTCTATTAAAGTATCCTGTGTAAGGCTGTAAGTTTAGTAAATAGCAGTTCCAGGAATCAAACCCAGGCCTATCTGATCTCAAAATGAAAATTACATTTTCTACTATACATTTGTGTATTTATACTATTATACACACACACACACACACACACACACACAGAGTTTGG